AAAGGCATAACTACCCACTCAAAATGCCCATATCGCGTCTTAAACGCGGTTTTGTACCGATCTTGCGGGCGGATGGAAATCTGATGGTAGCCCGTCTTGAGGTCCAACTTGGAAAAGTACTTGGCGCCGCCCAACCGCTCCCGCAAATCGTCAATGCGAGGTAGAGGCCCCGCGTTCTTGATGGTTTGCGCGTTGAGGCGTCGRTAGTCAATGCAAAGTCGAAGGTCCTTGTTCTTCTTTCGAACGAAGAGAATGGGCGCACCGTAAGGTGAGCTGCTAGGGCGGATCCAACCCTTGTCAAGTAGATCGTCGACATGCGCACGGAGAACCGTGAGCTCCTCCTCGGACATGCGATAAATGCATCCCTTCGGTGGCACGGCGCCGGCCTCAAGTATGATCTCGTGAGAGATTGGCCGGTCCGACACTATACCGGAGGGTGTCTCAAAAACATTCGAGAACTCGTCTAACAACCGGGTTACACGGGGGTCGGAAGACACATTCGTGGACGATGAATCGGTCGTCGGGATGGTTCGAAGAAAAGCGATGCCAATCTCTTCGACATGCTCGGAACGGCATGTGTCTCGAAAAGATTTGGCACTCACGACTTGGCACCGAATGGAAGAGCGAGGAGGAGGAATAGTACACGGGACCTAGGCGCCAGTTGCATCACGAATCGTGAGCGTGCGTCGATGGAAATTGACCATGTGGTCCGCGCTAGAAAGCCAAGGCATCCCCAAAATGACATCGAAGTCGGTGTCCAACACGTCAAAAGTGACGGGTTCACATGCGTGCGGTGCAAAGTACACCGGGACAACCGAGATGTAACGGTCTAAAAGTTGTTTCGTCTTACCGTCGGCAAGAGCGACCGTCGTCGGATGTGACTTCCTCCGTACTTGTGCGCCAAGGCCAGCCCGAGTCATGAAGGACTGGCTGATGAAGTTGCGAGTTGCGCCGCAATCTAGCAAAGCGTTGCAGACCGCTTGCCCAATCTGAATGCAAACGTAGAGCAACGATGCGTTGTTTTCCTCGTACCGTTGCGAGACAAACTCGCGGGCCACCTTGGCAACATAGCCAAGCATGTCCCCCACCGCGACTTCGTCTACCGTCGGCGAAGTTGGTGGTGCATGGAAGGAAAGATACTCGTGTAAGAGGGCGCATAGGGCTGCGCTTTGCAGCCCCGGAAGGTTGCCCATCGTAGGGAGAGGAATCCAAGCGAAGTCCTCGGGCGTGAGCGGGTCCAAAGCCTCCTCGTTGAACACGCTTGCCGAACCCCTTGATGAAGACGAACAGGCGGAAGAACCTTCGGACGGTGAGAAAGCCGCACATGTATCTTGTCCTTGAGAAGCATCCAATGAAGGAACGAGCAGGGCAGCGAAGTCTTCGAACGAAAGTGGAAGACTCCCGACATTCGGATATGCCTCGGAAGAAAGGGCGGTCGTGCGCACAACCGCTTCCGATGGTGTCGAGGGAGGTGTCGAGTCACCCTCGGCGGCGCCTACTTTCCTGGACGGGGTTTCCCCTTGGTGGGGCAATGTGCAGCGTCGTGGATGGTGCTATTCCACTAAAGGCAGTAACGGTTTCGCCGAGAGTCCGTATTGTGCCCAAGGTTCATCGGCGGCTGATCCGGTGCTCGGTGTAGAGGTGGACTGAGTCTTCGTCTTGTCGCGGCCGTAGTTGTTGCGCGGCTGGCCACCATCTCGGGCAGCTGCCAACACTTCACCCTCGTTTGGTGTTGCAGCCTCGGTAGAAGTAATGCAAGCCACCTTTGGCTTGGGCTGGGTGCCGCTCGTCGTCGCGGAAGATCGGTCGGCGTTGTGGGCTTCGATATTCGTGAGAATGATCCGTGACGCTGTGCTGAAAAGCTTGTCAGATGTGTCGAGTGTCTTTGGAATCTGCGTCATCGCGTTTTGCAGAGCTGGACACGAGCGCATCATAAACAAGTGCTTGATGGCGCGGAAGGCGAGCGGCAGGTAAGGTGTGGAGGCGAGTCTTTGGAACTCGGTAACCCAGTCCCGACTGAGCAGCGTGTTCTGATGGAGCTTGTTGAGCTTGTCCATCGCTTGCAGGTCGGGCGGCTCCACTTGGAATCGCTTGTGCGAGGCTTCAGTCAACTCCTGCCAAGTGAGCTTGGTGTGCAGTTCCGACACTGCTACGCCGTGGCTGGTCAAGATGTTGTCCAGCCATGCTTGACACGCACCACCAGATCGGTGGTACAAGCACGGATGTCGGTCGTTGTTCGGGACATGGTGCATGTCGAGCCTGAGAGTAAACTGGCGCCACCACGGGATCGGTTCCGTCTTGGACTGATCACAAAAAACTGGAATGTCATCCAGTTTGGGTGGGCGCCGGGAGGATGCGGCGGCGGGCGTCACGGTGGCAGCAGCCTGGACCTGCGTCTCCAACTGCAAGTTCGTTGCTTGCTGCGACATCCTGAAGTCCTGATGCACACGCTTGATATTGCTGACGTCGTCCTCCAAAACTTGAACATGGGTGGCAAGGTTTGAAGGCCCTGCGGCTGCTACAGCAACTGGCTGTTTCTCCAACGCCTGCAGCCGTGCGAGCATCTGGTCCATTGTCTGCTGCAGGTGAAGGATTTCCTCCTGCTGCAGAGCGCAGGTGGCCACGAGGTCGTGGGAGACCTGCGCAAGGGCTGACAGCCCTTTCTCAGTTTCCGGGGCCCCGTCGACAGATGCCACTTCCACCCAATGTGCGGCCTCATCGCCAATCACGGTCTCCCGCGTGAACAGTCGTTCCCGCTGGCGTGACCGGTGTTCGGCTGTTGCCTGCAGGTCTGCTTCCTCTTGACGAAGTCGGTCCTGTTCCTCCTTCTGTCGCTTGGCCTCCTCTTCTTGCTCAATCTGACTGCATTCCTTGGCCGCGGCGGCGGCCCTATCATTGGCCTCCTGGATGAAAGCAGCCAGGCGTTCCTCATAGGCCATGAGGGATTCTCCCGTCTTCCGGTCCATGGCCTTGGTCTGTGATCGAGTGAGCGGTGGCATGCACTGTCGTGCCCGGGAGAGGGGGAGGAATAGGTAGGCAGCAGACAAGTGGGAAGGATCGGACAGATCCCAAATTGAACAGTTCCCTAATCAAACAAAGAAAAATAATAATTTTTGATTAAGAAATAAATCAAAAATTCGAAAAAAATACTGTCCAATCCCACTGAGTGCCGAAGGTGATGCAGAACGCAATTGTGAACCTTCGGTGCTCAAACTGCAGAGAATCAGAAAAGAAGTATCTTTACAACTTAGAGTAGGAGTAGGTTGCAGAAAGGAAAAAAAAATGCCGTTTTTTTTTTTGTTGAAAAAAAGAACGGAATTTGCAGACCTACGCAGTGAAAGTGTAGAGGGACATTTTCGGAAAAAGAATCGAATTTGTCAAAATGCAGACATTTAACAATTAAACAAGGTAATAATAAAAAAAATTCTCGGAAAAGGAATTCTCACAACGGAAAAAAAAAATTCTCGGAAACCAAATTTCTCGGAAAAATAAAATTTCGGAAAAGAATAATAATTTCTCGAAAAAATTTTCTCGGAAAAAGAAATAATTTCTC